GCACTCAACCAGGCAGTAAAGGTCAAAACCATAATCATGGGCAGCACCTTTACTGGTGCCAAAATACCTTGAGGATGGATTTGGGTAGTGTTTTGCCAAGTTATGTGGAGAGTTTCAATTTTAACATTTATAATAGTGCTGGTGCTGTACCGGTGCTTCCAGAGTAAAATAAAAACCCTGAAAGTGTTGTATTTAACCTGGCGGGTTCAGGAATCCTAGGTTAAGAGGAGGGAACTGTAGGGTAAACTGAGGCAGTCCATGGTATTTCGCTAAGAACCCCTATTCAGTCCTAAAATTTGAGACAGGCCTGTAACTTAACAGTATGGACAGTTAGCCTGAGTAGAGGGACCTTGGGAAGTCAAAGTCGCCCTGGCAACCACATTCCAAGGGGCCACAGCAGCTGATACCAAAACAACCTTGCTAACATGTTTTGCTTTAATCCTAGATAATGGGCCCATAAACTCATAGAGCACATCAGCACAAAGTGCCAGTAACCCCTTCACAGATGCATCATAATTTAACTAGACAACAGTTGCCATTTAAATGTCTGTTTGTTGTTGACTTATTTAACTTGTTAAGGAAACTACTTTTATTAGAGATAAGGAGTTTGTTTGATGATGGGCGGAGATGCTATGTAATCTTTCTTAGGTTATTGGTTTACGTGCTCATTTCATCTTGCTGCTAGAACCTATCGAATTGCTTCCCCTCCGTCCATCAGCTCCCTATATAATCTATTGTAATGTTTCGTTTAACCAATGTTAACCAGCTTAACCCCTGGTAGCACTCCACCAGCAGCTTTGTGTAATAAATCCTCTTGCCTGTTTTGACTGCACTCAGAGTGTCCAGACTTATTTCCAACAGTCTGGGAATCTCTCCCTCCCTTTCTCTGCATACAGTTTTGCTGTCTTGCGTCCCAAAGGGCACATCCTGGTTCTGTTCCCATTTGAAGAACGAGATACCTGGATGTGAGCGAATCAAGCATAAGAGGCAGGCCCGGGGGGGGGGGGGGGGGGAAGGTAGTATACTGTTTGAGCAGTGCAGACAGTGCTGAAGGTATTGAAGACAGACCTGAAGGTATTGAAGATACAGTACTGCCTTCTTAGAAGAGGAGTGCTTAGATTCCTGTGCTGCTGTGGTCTGCTTCTGCAGCACAGGTGGTCTTGATACTGAAGCGTTTTTGGTGCCCCTCTTCTCAGAAGAGCCTAGAGCCCTGGGGGTAGTATACTGTTTGAGCAGTGCAGACAGTGCTGAAGGTATTGAAGACAGACCTGAAGGTATTGAAGATACAGTACTGCCTTCTTAGAAGAGGAGTGCTTAGATTCCTGTGCTGCTGTGGTCTGCTTCTGCAGCACAGGTGGTCTTGATACTGAAGCGTTTTTGGTGCCCCTCTTCTCAGAAGAGCCTAGAGCCCTGGGCATGAGGTTGGTACTGACAGAGCCTGGAGACTCAGTGGTATCTCCAAAATGGATTTATTTGGAGGAGACAGACTTTTTTGAAGTAGACTGCTTTTAAGGATAATTAGCTATCTTTTAATGGGACTTCTCCAAGGATTTATCTTGGATAGATTCAGGTGAATGTGCTAAAACTAAAGAGCCACTGTGCTCACTTTGATGCCAATGTCCAGGGGGATCCTGGCCTGGATCTGAGGCTGGACAGAGAGGGTATGTCTACACTAGCTCGTTAATTTGAGATAGGTAGGCAAATCAGGGAACCGGGGTATCAAATGAAGCCCGGGATTTAAATATCCCGGGTTTTATTTGCATGTTCCCGTCTGGCTGCCAATTTTAAATCCCTCTTAGTCCGGACGAACTGCCTGCGGCTACACGCGGCAGTTTAAAGTTAATCTGAACTAAATCCTTTGTGGAATGAGGAGTAACAGTTAATCCAAACTAAGGACTTAGTTCAGATTAACTTTAAACTGCCGTGTGTAGCCGCGGGCAGTTCGTTCGGAATAAGGGGGATTTAAAAATGGCGGCAGGACGGGAACATGCAAATAAAGCCCAGGATATTTAAATCCCGGGCTTCACTTGCAACACCGGTGCTCTGATTTACCTTCCTAGCTCGAATTAACGAGCTACTGTAGACATACCAAGAGAGAGTTCCATCATTAAGAGTCTGAGTCTTATCTCTTGATTCTTCCAAGCCCTGCCTTTAAAAGCAGAGCACATGGAGCACCTAAGGGGGATATTACCTCCCCCAGGCAACAGATGCAAAGGGAATGCTTGTCAGTAACTAGAATAGGTTCCTGGAAAGAGAGATACCATTTGAAGCCCAGAAAACCATAGAATATCCCAGCACAACTGTGATTTGAAGAGAAAGTTCCCAAACCCCAAGGGGGAAGGAATTGAGAAGAAATAAAGCAAGCAAGCAAGCAAGAAAGAAAGACTACTAATGCTTCATCTCATACTCAGGTGGTTGAGAAGGAACCGTGACCAGTTCTACCACTTAGTCTTATATAGCCTCGTGCAGGGCATTATAATATGTAGGCCACGTACACAGGCACTACTGTCAAAAAAATCTCTGATTAAAGACACATGTGGTGAAGCACACCTGAAATTATGCACCTATATAGACAGTAGGTGAAGAACAATCATTATTAATCCCCATTATTTTTAAAAAGAAATGCACACTTCTGTTGGACAATTCAATTCTTAAATCCATTATTTGTGGATCTGAGTGACTGGTACAAGGACAGCACATTATTTCTCTCTAGATGCAGACACAAATGCATTATTCTAAGTGCCCAATATTGTTGTGTGTAATACTTGTTATAGATACCATTGCTATAGATAACATTCAGTAATATGCTGTATATAAAGATTTTCCTGAACAATGGTATAAATATCTCATTCGTTTTAATAGGCTTTATTTAGTTTCAATTAAAATAGGAATATAAAATGGAAAAGACAGTCTGAGAAATAGTTACTGTTCATAAACTATTCTATAGTTATTTTTCAAAGGTAAATATCTTATTCAATTCCAGTCAAGACTGGCATTTTAAAAAATACTAAATAAATACTTCCATACCTACAGGATTAGTGGCATGTGGAAATTTAATATTCCATTCAATTATGGTAAAATAAAACTGATTGAAATAGCAAGAGCCCTTTTTCTTTCTTGCTCACTACTTAAGCAATTATCATCATTATTTCCTTGTATTACAAATTTCCAGATGCTAGTTTTAACCAAAGATCTTCTTGAAATAACTACATTTCTTTCCTTTGTTGAATCATAGATTTGCACACTTGTTTTAAAAATAGAGGCCCTGTATACTGCAACCGGATCAGAGAAGGCATACCCCTATAACCGGGCAAAGTCAATATGGACTTGCACTAGCACAGTGGTCGGTGCATGTGGAACATTTCACAGTACTGGAGACATATTTATTTTGGAGGGGGAGACAGAAAAAAACACTACAAATTTTCAGCTAAAAAGTTAGGTTGGTTTTTAGTTAGATTTGAATATTAAACAGAGCAAGGAGGTATATGAGACATCTGTGTCACTCTGATTATTAAAAAGGCTTTAATACAGATGATAAATGATTTTTGTTGGAAAAAATAGATTAACAATCAAGTCATAATAAGCTAAAGAGCACAAGTAATAAATACCTGAAAACTGGGGTTGCTAATGGAAATGCTGACAGACCATTAACAATAGCAGCACTACAAGAAAAACCACTATAATAACACTGGAAACAGCACAAGGAACATGACAGCTCTGACCTTTTAAAAATGCCTTAAGGAGCTGAGGCTACTGTGATAATTTTTATGTACACGTATACTCCATCCCTCTTGAGGAATTAAATCAACAACAGAGTTCCATTTTCACTTTTTAAAACCCAAGGTGGAGCGTTAAGTTTGGTGTAATTTTGACGAGTGGGTGCTATTTTATTCCACTGCAAGACATGAAGTACTTAGAAAGGGAAATTACCTGTAATTGTAGTTTGGGTAATAGCATCTATAAATTCACAATCTTGGGTCCTGTATGTTCATGTACATGACCTCACTGCATAAGAAGTAAGTTTATGCCATAAAGTTTAAAAACCCATCAGTGAAACAATGGAACAGGACATTAGTGATTCTAGCAGACATCACTATTTTCCCCCCAATGAGCAAGAACAGAAGGTGTTAACTATAACCCTACAAACCAGCATGACATACAAACTTTGCCAGTGGTTCCTCTGACTTAACTTATCTCTTTACTTTCTACTTCTGATTCTTTTATGTTGCTTGTTTTGCAAAGATTTAACATTTCACAAGACTACTTGTCAAGGATCAAAAGACAATAAAAATGACAGAAAATATCATGGTCCACTTCCATTATGATTACACATAGACATTAATATAGTGCCTACAGGCCCCAAGGCGATGTACAAGTACGTATAAAGATGCACTTCCTGCCCCAAAGGTCTTACAATCTAGGAAAGCATTTTAAAAGATTAACATTTTTGTAAATGTGAAAATAGATTGCACTAAACTTTGTTCCCATTTCTTACTTCATGAGAGCTTAGATACCATTTTAAAATCAAAAGGTCTTTTTTAAGATCAAGAACTAGGTCGTCAGGTGATGTGAACTGGTACAACTTCATTGAAGGCTTCAGCATTACATTGATTTATATCAGCTGAGGATCTAGTGCCTCAGAAGTGTTGCTTGCCCTGCAACATCCAGTACTACAAGTGAAGTGTTTCTTGTGCTGTTATAGCTAATGACCTCTCAAGGCAACAATCTTTTGTATACAGAACTATGCCATTTTAAATTACATTGCCCTGAAACCTGGTAACTAACCTGATATCTGTAATGTAATGGTAAAAGAATTTTTTAGAAGCTATCTAGTGTGGGCCAGATTTTATTGTAACCCAATGTGAAGGCAGCAGAGGACAGAGAGAATTTGTTTCTAAATGTGGAATAAGCATAGTGCACTTTACTGAACAGGCTGAGCAATAGCAATACTCTTCTATGGTCTATTCAAAGCAAAGCAGTACTAATTGGATTTCTTGTACCTGGGCAGGGCTGTGTGTTGCAAAGTGCCTCTTCAGTGTGAAGTCCAAGACAGATGTCCCCTCCATAGGCTGGGGCTGGGTTTGTGCAGGAGCGGGTCCTCATGTAATGTCCCCCTCCACAAGTTGCTGAGCACTTCGACCAGGATGACCAACAAGACCAACCTCCATCAACTGGAAAGAAATAAAAACTCAATGTTCTAGGTCTCTGCATGGATGAGTCATTTACATCAACCTAATCTCTTTGTGTTCTGTAGGCATGAGTCAACATTCAACTGCAATCAATGGAAGATTATTAGGTTCTGCCTGGCAAATGGGATCAGGTTATGGAGCTTACTTTACATTTTGACATTTATAAAAGTATTATCCAGTAGAATGAAGGGTAAGGAACTAGAGCTCTGTGTGGATACAAAATATATATCCTTGGACACAGATATCCGCAGATATGAATAAGAATCTGTGGAGCTGCAGAGTCTTGGTTGGCACACACTAGGGGTATGTCTAGACTACATGCCTCTGCCGACAGAGGCATGTAAAATAGGCTACCCTACATAGTCAATGAAGCAGGGATTTAAATATCCCTAGCTTCATGAAAATAAAAATGGATGTTGCACTGTGCCAGCTCAGCTGATTGTCGGCACAATGAACAAGTCAAGACACGGATCGGTCGACAAGGGAAGCCTTTATCGACCGCTCCTGTAAACCTCGTTCCACGAGGCATAAGGGAGCGGTTGACAAAGGCTTCCCAACATCCATTTTTATTTTCATGAAGCTAGGGATATTTAAATCCCTGCTTCATTGACTATGTCGAGTAGCCTATTTTACATGCCTCTGTCGGCAGAGGCATGTAGTCTAGACGTATCCTAGGACAGGAGTCAGAGAATCATAGAATCCTAGGGCTGGATGAGACCTCAGGTGGTCATCAAGTCCAGTCCCCTGCCCAAGGCAGGACCAATCCCAACCATGCAATGGTTTGCATCTCCTCTCTGGGGCATATAAGTTGCTTGCACATAAGAGTGCTACTGATGTGCCTGGGGCCTGCCCAAGTGGTGGGGCTAGAGGCAGTATGGCCATGCCAGAGGAGCTCCTGGCATAGGGCTCTGGCTCCCAGGAAGTGGTGCCTCAACGTGTTCTAATTTTTACCACTGTGGTTCCTGGTAGAGGGCAGCTCTGTGAATACTGATTTATATCCACAGATATCTACATCCAAAAAAATACATTTTGTATCTGTATAGGGTAATATATGGAATAACAATATGTGCCATTGGAGACAGCATGATAGCTAAGTCAGAAGCACCGTCCAGGGTTCAGGAACACATGGGGGGGTGGGAATCAGGGGTACTCAGCCTCCAGTAGCCAGAGCTTAACACAGAATGTGATGAATTCTGTGCTGCTTGCATTGTCTACCCTTGGAGCAGGGAGTTTGTTGTTGAGAAAAAGGTTGGTTAAGATAACAAAAGGCTTGTAATTAAATTAAGGCTAGATGATCCTGAAAGCCTTGCCAAGTTCTCCAGTTAAAAGATAGGAACCAAAGGATAGGAATAAATGATCCATTTTCAGAATGGAGATAAGTAAATACTGGTATCACTCCGGGCTTGTAGTGGGACCAGTTCTGTTCACCATATTCATAAATGATCTCCAAAAAGGGGTCAAAGTGAGATGGCAACATTTGCTGATGATACAAAATTACTCAAGATAGTTAAGTCTAAACCTGATTGCAAAATGTTGCAAAGGGATCTCACAAAACTGGATGATTGGGCAACAAAATGGCAGATGAAATTCAATGTTGATAAATGCAAAGTAATGCACATGGCAAAATATAAACATCTATATCTACAAAATGATGGTGCCCAAATTAGCTGTTATCCATCAAGAAAGATATCTTGGAATCATTTCCAGTACCCTAGAAGCACTATGCTTCCAGAGTACTGCAAATTTATAAGAATCCTTCTCACTGTGCCTGGATCAACCAAAATCATTCTCCAGCTTCAGAAGACTTAAAAATTATCTCCAGTCATCAATGGGACAGACACAAATAAATAATGTAGGTGTCCTTATTGTGCATCTAGACCAGGGGTGGGCAATAAAACAGCTGTAGTTTGTCAGGGTTACCCCCTGGCAGGCCACTGCCACTATATTTATATGTGTCTCCACAGGTATGGGTGACTGCAGCTCTCCTTGGCCACAGGTCACAGCCAATGGGAGCTACGGGAAGTGGCATGGACTGCAACACCACTTCCTGCAGTTCCCATTGGCCAGGAAAGGTGATCCATACCCAATAGAAGCTGCAGTTGCCCATACTTATGAAGGTGCAGGTACATATAGCGGCAGCAGCCCTCCAGGGGCTAACCCTTGGGAGCCGGATCTGGCCTGCAGACTGGTATTTACCAACCTCTGATTTAGACAATGCCAGGGAACTAGGTGTAAATTTGTAAAAACAGCTTGAAGGTGGTGGGCTGACAGGTTTATACATGTGTAATAGGAGCTTGGTTATAAAGATGCATTAAAGAGTTTAGAAATACTTATTGAAATATGTCCCTATTTTTCTGAAAAATAAATGCTATACAGCTATACCTTTAAATATATTTTCAGAATATAAGAAGTGCTATACCAAATTACACTAATGGTACACACATAATAAATACATATTGAATGTACATGTGCACATCAGGTATTTATTTTCTATATTTGACACAGCTTTGTGAAAATACATGACTTATGCACATAAACTAGGCACATACATATCTATTGTGCAACAGCACACACATAACTTTGGAAATCAGGCACTAACTGAATTTCCTTTCATAGGCACCCTTAAAAAGTGGATGTTTACCATCCACAGTTGTTAAATTTACCATAGCATGCACAATGTTTCTCACTCTAAGCACAGGAAATACCACCCTTTTTATTATAGGTAGATACTCCCATTGCCATGCACAACTTATTTTATTTATTTTAATGGTTCATTCATTTTCATGCACTCTTTGGGAAACCTTAATTTATGGTTTAGTGTCTAGACTGAGTATTTATAATCCAGGTATCTCTCAAACAATACTCCTTAATAACGCCTTTAATACCATTCTGTTCAAAGAAATCAAAGAATATTTAAGGCTGTAAAATCCTTTTAATCAGTTTACTGATATGGCTTTGCATAAAAAAAAACCCAACCCTATCCAAAAATATTAGTATTTAAATCTTCTACCTGGTAGTGACATTGAAGAATACTTTAAATATATTAAGGATAGGTAATTTTGCTTAGAAAGCAAGTTACATCACATTCATATCTGCCAAGTCAAACAGAACTCATTTATATGGAAAGATTGTAATAGCTGGAAAATTAGTTTAGGGGATCTTTTATTATTTGAGTATCAATATCTGCCTGTGCAGCTATTCAGACAATCTGACACATAATGAATATTCAGAGTCTCATTCAGTTTAGTAGTCTATCTGTAGCTATTGGTCAAATGGGCCTTTAATAGAAGTCATTAGCATGTGTAACATTTTCTTTCTATAATATTTTACAATGTCCATTTATTGTACTGAGTTACCTTGTAAAGCAACAAACCATAAAGCCAATAAAGCACTATAAACAAACCAATAATTTAGATATTTATGGTATCCCCATAAACCATTTCTGCAAAATGTCTCTTGACAGTCTGCCTTCCAATAGTTCCTAAAAAATCGATTATTTTGACTGATCAGCTTCACTCACTTTGTCTCTCTTACATCCTGGGATCAACATGGCTACAACACTGCATATAGATTTCTGTTTTGTAACTACAGTTGTTATAGCTACATTATAAGCTGGGGGAATGGGGAGAGACCTGACACAACAGAATAGAATGTGAGAGGCTTAATTGTAGTTGTGCTAAAGGGCACCATAATATGTGCTGTGATTTCTACCTATTTAGGCTGCCATCATAAATCTCTAGACCTCAAAAAAGCTGACACAACTCCCTCTTTTATCTGTCCTCTAAACTTTTTCTTCTTAACAATAAGGGATGATAAAGGCATCATCATGGTTAAATAAGATCAAAGGAGTGAGTGTTTACTGCCTGAGGTTTTACAGGACCCAAATAGAACACTGTGGTTGCTTTCATCTTTCTATAATGTTGCTTAGCAACATAAGACCATCTGTTTTCTCTTCCTTTGTTGTCCATGATGTATAGACCTTAATGCTGATTCAGCCTTATTGACAAAAAATAAAAATTATGAAGAAAGCTCCAGACATTATATAATTTATTTTCAAAACAGTACAGCAGAGCTATTGTATAATTACACAATAGTAAAAAATTGCTTTTAAATACTTGACAATTCAGGTTGGCATGTTGTGGAGCAACGCCTTTTCAACAAGCAAGTGTACTCTCAAAACAATATTTTCTTTTATAAGGTTTTTTTGTTTGTTTTGTTTTCCTGAGCAATCAGGCAACTCTCTGCCTAATAGTTGTTGTCCTGTTAATAAATATTGCTTCACAAAGACGAGAAAAGAAAAAACACAGGGAAGAGGCTGTTCCAAGGAAAAGTCTATAGAAATAGGACCTCCTGTGGCTCCAATAAAACATCCACACCACATTGGACAGTTTCCAAAAGACTATTAAGTAAATTGGCCATCTTTCTATGCACTTGGGGTTTTACAAGAAACGGGAAGAAAGTATGAGCATAGAGAATGAGACTCTTCATTCACAAAAATGTGGACAGAATTGTGAAAGTAGGGGTTTTGCACAGATTGTGCAATATTCTTCAAAATTGAAGCTTTTATTAAATCTGGGGGAATCCTTTCTGCCCTACCACTCCCAGGAACATGATACAATTCTGTGGTGATCGGAAGGCCTATTTTTGCCATCTCTGACTCAGGGACTATTTCCTCCATGCCACTGAACAACCCACTTACCCACAGAAACCATCCTACCAACACCACAAAAAGGATTCTGCATGAACACCACCTGATGACTGAAACAACAGACTGGACTGCTACCTAGAGTGCATCCACAATCATGTAGAAGCTGAAATTGTGGACAAGGAACATCACTTGCCCAATAACCTCAGCCGTGCGGAACATAATGCCATCCACAGTCTCAGAAACAACTCTAACATTATAATCAAAGGGGCTGGCAAAGGAGTTTCTGTTGGCATCATGAATAGGTCAGATTACAAACTAGAGGCAGCTAGACAGGTTCCAACGCTGCAGTCTACAGGCCACTATCATGGCTCTCACTGAAGAGAAATTAATTCATCCTCAAGCAAACAAAAAAAACAAAAAACCCACCTTCAAAAACAGGCTGCAATGTAAAACTGCTGAGCTGGAATTGATATGCAAATTTGACACCATCAGAATTCGTCTGAATAGAGACTGGGAATGCATTACATAGTTTCAGGGAAACATACATACAGGCATATATAGATACTCTTCTCTTTGGACACATGTGGGAGTGAAAGTAATGGCAATAAGATACATTCTTATTACCATTAGTCACATTAAGTACGTAACCGTCATAAATCATGGATGAGTAATGGTGAGATTAGTACCAATAAGTGACTTAGTGACTGTCAGTGTCATAATAAGTGACAACATAACTCATTAGTCAGAGCACTTGTCTTTACCCGTTTCCTCTTTTCTCACTTCAGATTTATCTGAGATCTGATTTGGGCCCCTAAATTCATTTTCAATTACTGATGAGCACTAGGTGCTGTGAATCAGCAATGATGGAGAACTTCAAGGATTTTTCTCAGTCCCATCAGAATGACATCATTCACTATCTGCTCCCAAATCACTAAACACCTGCATGTTTCACTCAAGCTGTGCAAACTTATTGAAATTTAATTCTGAGGCCAAGAAACAAACAAATCATTGAGAAAAGATATTAGACCTATCATGACATCAGATTCCGGCTGTAGCAGGGCCCACTACTCCCTTTTTTCAGTTAGTTATTGACATTCATTTTCAAAAGCAGAAACAATGGGGATGCAACAATGGGGATTATTTGTTACCAAAATGTCAGTTTCAAGCTTTATTCCTTGTTTCTTATCACATCATCATTTTTTATTTTCTGCTCTGCTTAGTTTTTTATGGTGGCTTAATATTAGATATTGACAACACTATCATGCTCTTCTTATTAATATTGTGGAAAACTTGCATTTTCTGCTGACTGTACCGATTTCTATAAAAAATAACTGCAACATTACTAAGTTAAAAATGTCCCATTTCTGTAAAGTGGTGGTGGTGGTATAAAATATTTCACTTTAGAATGAATTTTTTAAAAAAAATCCAACCCAAAATTCTTTTTAAAGAACCAACAGTGAAGGGAAAGAACAAATCTGGTACAATTTTAAAGGAATATTTTCTTCCTGTTATGACTATATGGTAATGAAACTATTAATCTGGATTGATTTTTTTGAAGTCCCTATTTAACTGTTGCTTACTTAAACTTAAAACTACATAAAATAAGCCTGGAACAAGTCTCTACTCCCAGTGTTGGGAGGTCCTCTGTTACTATAAGTTCCCAAAGCTCTATTGACTTCAGTTGAGCCTGGCCATTTACAATGGCTGAGGCTCTACCCCCACCTTTTCAATTTCAGGGCCAAATCTTATTTTAAGATTAAAGGGCTGCAATCAATATTCTACTCTGTCTTCTACCTTTGCATTGCTAATGTAGTACAAAGGGAACAGAGACCACCACCACCGGAAAACAGAAAATCCCTTGCTAGGGATTCCTCTGGCCTAAGGGTGTCCCAAGCAGGAGCAACTCAGAGTGGGTGTATACTTCCCTCCTGAGAATCAGTGAGGAGGAGAAGTGAATGGGCTGCTCTATTTTTGGCTATCTCCACTTTGTGTATGGGTCCTCAGGGAACTGCTGCCAGTTAGCACTTAATAAACATGCCCCAGACTGCTAAAATCTGCACTGTACTTGAGCCACGGAATCTGTGAGTTGTAACCATTTGTTGGCTCTCAGCTCTCCTGGGCTTCCTAGTGTACAGATTCAGCTTTGCCTTCCCTCCAATCTCCTTCAGACCCATTTCTGCCCCCTAATCTTAGGCTAGTGGCTGGAGAGCCTAAGAGACTATTTAGTGGATCAACATTATTCACACATGGAATTCCTTAGGATTAAAAGGGGAATAATGCCACAACCATCTCAGGAGCTGAAAGTAGAAAAAAAGGATTTTGAGCACCCAGCACTCCCCCTCTTCTCCTCTACTGCCTGTCCCCATATCCTTCTGCTTTGGGGGCCCTCTGTTTGAGAAAGAAAGAGAGAGATGATCAGGGCACAAATCATTTTGCCAAATATAGAAGATATATTAGTGATACACATCTGTGTCCATGGGTTGAAAAAATATACATTTAGGGTTTAACCTCTTTTTAGTGAGCCATAAAATAATCTTCAATGAAAAAGCTGCTTAAGATTCTTCTAATGAACTTTTACAAGCATTTCATGATTTACCTTGCACTTAAGGCTATGTCTACACAGCAACGTTATTTCAAAATAACTTAATCTGCATCTACACAGCCGGCAGTTATTTTGATATAATGTCATAATGTCAAAATACTGTCAATCTGGAGGACTTCTTACTCGACTCCTGTAGCCCTCAATTTAAGAGGAGTAAGGGAAGTCAGAGGAAGAGTGCTCTTTTTCGAAATAAGAGCTGTGTAGACAGCACCAAAACTCTAAGCAAGCTATTTCAAAATAAGCTACACAATTGATGTAGCTCAATTTGCGTAGTTTATTTCAAGTTAAGCCCTGCTGTAGATGCTCCCTAAAGGGTACGTCTAGATTACAAGCTTCTTTTTGAAAGAGAGTGTCTAGACTACAGCCAGTATTTTCTAAAATGCAAGCCACTTTTTCTAAAGAGAGCACCCAGTCAGTCTGGATGCTCTCTTTCGAAAAAGCACAGTTCATGTTCAATAACACCTTTTTCCGAAAGAGCACTTTCAAAAAAAGGTGTTATTCCTCATAAAATGAGGTTTTCCATGATCAAAAAAACTGCCGTGTTCTTTCAATTTACTTTCAAAAGAACGTGGCGGCAGTCTAGACGCAGGAGAAGTTTCATGTGGTTATCATGGGATTTCATGGGAAGGGGTGACAGGGAAAGGATCACTTGATGATTACCTCTTCAATTCATTTGCTCTGGGGCACCTGACATTGGCCACTGTCAGAAGACGTAATACTTTGGACTGACCCAGTATGGACATTCTCATGTTCTTACCCTTTTCTTTTTCATAAACATTTCTCATGCTTAGGGTCAAACTCTCAATTAATGTAAATAAAATATAGCTATACTATAGTGAAATAAATAAAGATGCAGTGATTTACACCAGCTGAGTATTTGGCCTCTAGTCTATATCCATTATAAAACGATTTGGCTGTTTGCTAAAGAAATTCTCTTTTTCTGGCAGCAAAACAACTTTGTCTGATGAAACAGCTCAGAAATCACATTTCCATATGGTACCTTACATGTTAAAGCTCTCATATCTAATACTGGTGCTGATATGTCAAAGGGATTGGTGGGTTGTCATTTTTTTTGCAATGTAAATTAGTTTTAATAGCTATGGGTAGTTGCCAGGAATGTATGTCTTTAATTAGCTCTGTTTTCAAATCATCACTGAAGTTTACAGAGCAAAAGTTATTGTGTTAAATTCTTTTTGGTTGGGCTAACTTGTTTATCTGGAAAGGAGATGAGGAGGAAATGGTTTGAACTAGTTTATAACTTTTACTAATGTAAAGTATGGACTTGAAAGTGAACTAAATCATTTTCATAACCCCTACTGAATCTCTTAATTCTTACCTGGACAAGGCAAGATGTTGCATTCCTGGTACTCCAGAGATGGGCCCAGACATGGAAGACCTCCATACTTCGGCTCAGGATTGTTGCAGACACGCTTGCGGTTGCGAATGCCTCTGCTGCAGTCTCGACTGCACTGAGACCATGGAGTCCACGGTGACCAGGCTCCATTAATTGTATGAGCCGAGTATCGTCCAGAACGCAAGAAATCCCCTGACAGTCCTAAAGAAGTAAGATTGAAAGCAGAACATGGGATTAAAGGCTGCTAACTTGCAAACAAACATTTTGTATTCCTATTTAATCTTAGTATTTTAATAAACATTTTTGGTACTGTTCCAGATTACTTGTTTCTATTTGGCTATGCAACACCATATTTCTATTTCACTACCTTAACTGACAGATATCCCATAAATCCTCCTATAGCAACACAGTTTGAACCAGATCCTCAGCTGCTGTAAGTCTGTGTAGCAAGCCTGGCAGTCAGTTTACACCAAGTGAGGTTCTGGCCCTTGGTGTTGGCAGCTCCCATTAAATCACAGTAGAAATGACCCAATAGTGATAACCCTGCTTAAATTATGGAGTCAAATAATTTCATGAATGTCTTTGTAAAAATCATTTTGTGAGGGAAAGTATTTTCCCAATTTAAAATTAAACTTGTGAGTGTCTTCTTCACTTGGCTGAAGAGCTCAGGGAAGGGAAGGGAACCATTGTCACCCACAATGAGAATAGTGTGCTTCTTGGTTAAATCAGCAAGCTGGGAAATGAAAACTAAACACTGCTGGAGTCTGAAGTCTATGATTTAGTCACAGAAAAGGTACAGTGTAGGCAATGGGTATGGAAGTTTTTTAGCAGCAGCATTGCCAATATGCTTTAGTCCCTACCTGGATGAAACACTGCTAAAAGTCATTCTTAATGCCAATGTAGGGCTCCCGATAGGGAAGGAACTCCCACAAAAGAACTCAGCATAGCACTTAACTTCTGATCCTATCAGCTGTAGCAAAACTGCTCAGCCACTGTGTACATCTGCCATGTATGGCAGTGATATCAGCCACTCACCCTATGACGGGAATTCTTCTGAAGTTTTACAATACTGCTAATATGGTTCACCTGGGGAGCGGCCACTATCTACGCCCACCTCTGAGCTCTCCCTGCTCTGAGTCCTCCTATGCCTCCCCCCCCTCCAGTTCTGACTCCTGCATCTTCACTCCCGCCGGGAGCCCTCCACCCCCTCCTCTGCCTCCTGCACTCCCCATCCATCCACTCTCCACCTTGAGCCCCCCCCTTACACTTCAACCACGATTCCTGCACACTCACACCCCTGCTCTGAGCCCCCACCCCTTGCTCGGACACCTGCACCTCTGCCTTGAGGTCCTCCTTACCCATCAACCCTGACTCTTGCTCCCCCACACCCTTAGACTCCTAACCTGAGCCTCCCATATCCCCCAATCCTGAATCCTGCAGCCCCGCATACCTCTGGCTTCCTGCCCTAAGTCCCTTAAATCCCCAAGCCCCTGCCTTGACTCCTGTATCCTCCCACACACTCCCAGTCCCCTGCCCTGAAGGACGTGAGTCACGCAGGGTAAGTCTTCTAATAAAATGTAAGAATGAGAACTGATATTGAGGACATGTTGCCCTATAGTAATCTTCAACTCAAACCATATGACTACAAGCACCCTAAGCAAGTGGAATGTAACGAGCACTACATTCAATGTGCGCAGTAGACTTCATCCCAATCCAGTTCACAATATCTTTGGCTGCAGTATGAGACCTATCCACAGTGAATTGTTTGCAAACTGAAACAGTGGTTTTATACTAATGAAAGTACAAACAGTTCAACACATCCACAGTGGCTATGCAGAATTATGTTAAAGACCCCTGCAGTTTTGCCTTGTGTCTTCCCAAATTGCTCTGCTATTCCAGATCTGCTGCAATAAAACACCTGGATATAATTAGCTGCAATTGTATTAAAACTACCCATGTCTTGTCTCCACCACAGGTTCAAACACTAGTAACACTGTTACACATGCATTTATGATGCACCCTTGTGACTGTGATTATAATACTCGTAGTATAGATGGGGCCTTGAAGACTTTTATTCAGTACACTATAACAGTGGGCAACAATGAAATAAATGATGCAGTAACAGACAAATAAGTTTGGTTTTGTCTCAGTTTTGTAATGAGAAACTGCTCAGCTCAGTTCCTTAGACAGTAATACTAAATCCCCAAATTTGTGGATAGAATCCTCCCTCTGGATAATAACTGAGAACAATTACTGCTCCCTCTGAACCAGTTCCTATTGTGCAAACATATTATCAGCAGATTTTATGAAATCTGATGCAAATTTGAATCCAGAATGGAAGAGATTATAGGGAAACACTGTGGGAGTTAAAATGTTGCTTGAACCCCTCTTTCCATAAGTAGTCCTGTGGCACCTCAGGGAATGTCTACGCAGCAGTGTTATTTTGGGATAACTGACGTTAATCCGAAATAACATAGTCTGCGGCTACACTACAAGCAGTTATTTTGACATAATGTCAAAATAATGTCAAGCTGGTGGACTTCTTACTCCAACTCCTGTAACCCTCATTTTATGAGGAGTAAGGGTAGTCGAAGGAAGAGTACTCTTTCTTGCACTTCCTGCTGTGTAGACAGAGCCAAAAGCCAAATTAAGCTGTTTTGACTTAAGCTATGCAACTGACGTAGCTCAAGTGGCATAGCTTATTTTGGCTTTAGCCCTGCTGTGTAGAAGTGCTCTTACAGATAAACAAATGTATAACACCAACCCTATTTCATCAGATGAGTTGGAATAGACTTGCCTTATGAGGTTGCCCAGCTGACAAATCCCAGGATTATACACATAATAAAGGTGAGAAGAAAAGAGGGTACCACAGCTGCCCTTCCCCATCTTCAACCACCAACTTACAAACAGCACTTCAGCCAAAGGGCTAACAGGAGCACAAATTATGGCTGAGCTATTCTGATTTAGATTATGCTGGTCAGTATTTCTCTAGATAAAATATTGCAGCATTGTGTCATTTTACAATACCATTAGAATGAATTGAGGATCACTCTGAGGGGTGGAATTTTCAGTCTTAAGGGAAACGAGTAACTTTATTTCACATTTTTTCAATAACATATCAGATTTCTTAGTGTTACAGAATATCAGAAAAATTATTTATGCAAAATCTCAGCAGGACCTTGCCACTAACACATAATAATGTATGGAATCAAGGTTTTAGTGGGATGTTCTTGCAACAACTCACATTTCCATGAGTCTCATTCATTTCAGGATGCTAAAAGAATACACTACATTCTACAGCTTTTAAATAACTTTTATGGGATGGGATTCACAAAAATACTTAGGTGCCCAACTCTCACTGAGTAGGGAGTCAAGTGCCTAAATGCTTTTGTGAATCCCATCCATAACATCGGTCTTGTTGAGTTTTCCCTTTAGACAAAGGATTCAAATCACAACAACAGGCCAAGTTAATTTGAATTCCAGACCTATAGAATGATATAGAAACAATCAAATTAAATTAACTAGCGTGTAACTATTGGCTACTGACAAATATTTTAAATCAGTTTCCTGCAGACAGTAAGCATTATCTTTCTCCTCCTTGTACATATGAAGATTCTATTTCACAATGACATTATTAAAGGTGTGGCATTTTCCCACAATTCCTGCATACTCCTACTTTTTTTTACACTCTTCATCTGTGTGAATTCATTACCTTCCAGACACCCATGGTTCACAGTTTTTACGGCCAGAACGGTTTATTGTGGTCAGCTACTCTACTCTAACACAGACCCTGAATTAATTTGTGTTTGGACTAAAGCATATTTTTTAGAAAAACCCCTACTCTTGATTTTAAAGTTTTCCGTGATGAAAAATGCTTGGTAAATTGTTCCAGTGGCTAATTACCCCACTATTTCAATGTATACCTAATTTTCAGTTTGAATGTGTCTAATTTCAACTTGCAGCCATTGGATCTGCTAGACTGAACCATTTACCACCAAATATTTGTTACTCATCTAGGTAATTATAAACTCCTTAACCTTCTCTTTAAGATAAAGAGATTGAGTTTTTTTATTTTTCCCTATAAGACAGTATATATTTTTAATCCTTTTAATCATTCTCATGGCTCTTTTCTGAACCTTCTCCAATTTATCAACATCCTTCTTGAGTTGTGGATATCAGAACCGGACACAGCATTCCAGCAGTAGTTGCACAGCTGTCAAAAACAGAAGTAACATAACTTCTTTACTCCTACTCCAGATTTCCCTGTTTATACAACCAATAAGTACATTAGCCCTTCAGACCACACTATGGCACTGAGAACTCATATTCAATTGATTAGCAACCACAATCCCCAAATCTTCTTCAGAGTCACTGCTCCCTGAGATAGATTCCTTGTTCCTTGATGGATACACTTAGCCATATTACAGTTAAAGTTGTTTTTGTGTGCCGAGTTCACCAAATGATCCAGATTGCTTTGATTCAGTGATCTGTCCCATGAATTATTTATCACTCCCCTAGGCTTTGTGCTGCTATCTACAAACTTGCTCTCTTCCAGATAGCCAAGAACTGATCCCTGCAGGACTAACTAGAAACACACCCATTTGATGATCCTTCCCCATTGACAATTACATTTTGAAACCTATTAGTTAGCCTGTATTTAATCCATTTAATGTGTGCCATGTTAATTTTATATAATTCTAGTTTTTAACAAACATGTGATGGGGTACCAAGCTAAATGCCTTAGGGTATGTCTACACTAGCTACCGTAGTTCAGACTAGGGTGGCTAATGTAGTCATTCAAACTTGCAAAGGAAGCCCGGGATTTAAATATCCCAGGCTTCATTTATATGTTCCCGGGTGCTGCCATTTTTAAATACCTGGTAGTACAAACTACCTGCCCGTGGCTACACGCGGAATGGGCTAGGTAGTTCGAACTAAAGCTCCTAATTCAAACTATCTTTACTCCTCATTGCAGGAGGAGTAATGATAGTTCGAATGAGGAGCTTTAATTCAAACTACCTAGTCCATGCCGTGTGTAGCCGCGGGCAGGTACTTCGAACTACGGGGCATTTAAAAATGGCGGTGCCTGGAAATATGCAAATGAAGACCGGGATATTTAAATCCTGGGATTCATTTGCAAGTTTGAATGACTGTAGTCAGCCGCTGGTCAGTTTCAGCAGCGGCTGACTTGGGGACCAACC